TTGTAATTTTTTGTTCAAAAAGTTTGTTTTTCATATTATTTTTTTAAATTGTTTTATTATTAATAATATAATTATAATTTAATTAAAATTATTATGTTCTTGTTCGTTTCAAAACTATCGAATATTTCGTAGGTAGGTTTTCAAAAATAGTTTGTTTGTGAATGGTTTAATTCCAGTTTTTGAAATTTAATTTGTGTTTTTCTTTTTTTAATATTAATAAGTGATGTATTAAGTTTGAATAAACTTACCGTGGTTTGAGTTTCATTGTTGTACAAATCACATGAATCAACAACGGTTTGGAGTTGAAACGAATAAAACTGGTTTTTCAAACAAACAAGTTAAAACACTATTTAAACCGAGAATTTCAATTAATTATTCACTAAATATTTACAATTTGTTGTTTTATTCAAATTAAAACGCATTGATAAATAGATATTTATCAAACTGAAAATGTATCAGTTAATCGAATAAATTTTAATTTAATTTATGATTGCTATAGTTATGTATCAATTTACCAATTGTTGATTAATTTTTAACACCACAGTTTTATAATATAGTTAATATATTTGAAAAATATAATTAAATTTTGTTTTATTGAAGTTTATTTTTTTTCAAAAAAACAACTTATAATATTTTTAAATTGATTACAAAATTTCAGCTACTGTTATATAATAATCAAATAATAAGTATATATATGTTATATTGTACAGTTCAAGAACAACAATTACTTTTATCACAATATGTTTTATAAAAAGTGTATGTATTATTTTTATTATGTTTTTCAACAAAAATTGTAATTATTTGTATCAAGAAGTATCAATTTTAGTTATATTAAAATAATAATAATATCAATAGCAAATAAAAAGTAAATCGAATGATAGAATATACTATATAAAATTGGATAGAGATAATTAATTTATGTAAATAACACATAACAAATTATTATTTAAAATTCTGTTTAAAACAACTTATCAATTATGAAGTATAAATAAACAAAACATAATATGTTAATTGTCTGAAAACAGTAAGAATTTTTTATTATCTATTAACAATTATATTTTTTTTAATTTAACAAATATAGTATAGTGTAAAAAGTTTCAATTTATGATTATAATCGTCAACTAATAAGTGATGAAAATATTTTCTTTTTATAAAATTTAACAAGTCTTTATATTATTTATATATTATTATGAGTAAAAACGTGTTTTTAATATAATTTCTACACACACTTTTAAAATGTAATTTTATATATTGTGTAATATGGAATAATAGTGTTCATTTTTTTATATCATTGGATTATTTTTAATTTTTAATTGTTATAACACAAAAATATTATTAATAACAAAAATGATTTGTTTTATTTTAAAACGACACACCATCATTATTATTTACAATTATTATAAAAAATACCAATTTTTTATTTTTCTACTTTTAAATGGATTTCAAATAATGAAAAAAAACATGATATTTAAACACAAAACTTAAATAAAATAATTATTTATTCAAATATGTAAATTTTTTAATTATAACATTATTGTTTTAAATCTTTACAACCAACATTACTTGTTGATTTAATTTTCAAATGTAAAACAAAATAATTTTATTTGTAATCAATAAATAAAATCAAAACATTATTGACATTCTCCAAAGAGATTGTAAAACATAACCATTTCTGTTGTCATACAACCAGTATTATCATTTTATTACATTAATTACTTACTAATATATTTATATTAAAGTGTTAATCTGAACACAAAAAAATGAAATTAATTACGTCAAACATACAAAAGAACTCAATTATAATTTCGAATAAAATTAAAGATGAACAAGTTTAACAAAAATGTAAATTATTTTATTTGTCTTTCTAACTAAAAATGATATAAAAAAGAACTAAAAACAACAGAAGAACGAAATTATAATAACTTTAAAATACAAAGAGGTTTTTATATTTTTTTTATAAAATTATAATATTACTATAAATACTTATTTAATAAAGAATAAAATATATAAAACAACAAAACATTTTTTTTGAAACTCAAAAATCGATCAAAGAGGGACTTTGTCTTCTGTTATCGAAAAGAACCAATGAATTACAATAAAATTTAAAAAAACGAAATCATCAATTTTTTGTTAACGTGTACATCCCCATATAAATCCTTTCAACTTCTGTTCAGTCATCTCATAATGGCTGAAGCTGCATTCAAGGCAATCGATACCAACAACGACGGCAAACTCCAATACGAAGAGGTCAAAGCTGCTATTGCTGCTAAGAAGGAAATCAAGAACGAGAAACTCGTTCAGTTGATCTTCAAGGCTGTTGACGTTGACAACGACGGAACTATCGACCTTCCCGAGTTCACCAAGTTCCATCAAGCTATTGCTGGTATTGATATGGCTGATGCCAAAGTCGGTCTTAAAGTTCTTTACAAGTTGATGGACGCCGATGGAGATGGAAAGTTGACTAAGGATGAAGTCACTGCTTTCTTCAAGAAGGTTGGATGTGAACAAGCTGTTGAACAAGTCATGAAGGCTGATGCCAACGGTGACGGATACATCACAATGGAAGAGTTCTGTGCTTTCTCACTTTAATTCAAACAACTTTTACAACTTTATTTCGATTTAATATAATTATATAATATCAAATATTATTTTAAATGATAATTTTAAGATCAAAATAGTATTATAAGAATATTTCGTTGTGAATAATAAACAATTCATATATCAACAGTCATTCACAAGTAATATTTTTATATGTTATTTATAATTATGTAAATTAATTGTTTGAATAAATATGATATTTAAATAATTTATAAAACACTTCAAAAATATTATTAAAAGACAAATGAAATTACTTACAGAGGTTTCCAAAATTTCAATCCTAATTACCCACTTCACCATTTAATAACTAAAATATTCATTTTCTTTTATAAAATCGTACGTTAAAATACCACATTATTTTTCAGAAACATTTGGTTACTGATTTTCTTGTATAATTCGAATTATATCGAAAATAATCATATTAACTTATTACAAATGATCAACTAATTATTTCGATTTACATTTATTTACATACGATTATAAGATCTTACTAAAAATTTAAATACAATTTCCAATTATTTTATAACCAGTTACAACACATATAAATACCAAACAAATAACAAACAACACCGAAATAAAAACAAAAATAAAGAAAGAATTATTCATCTTTACAGACGTATTCCATCACATCGCTCAATTCCTTATTCATTATTTCCAGCAGTTTCGCGTCCATCTTATCTGGTACAAAGAACATTGTGTAAAGTGACTTCTCGGAGTGCCACGAGTACAACACTGCAGAAAATCCGTTCACATCGCACGGAGCCATGACCTTAACTCTTGGTTGATTCAACCCGACGTATCTTCCGATATTCGAGACCATAATCGCTTGTGCTTGACACAAATTTGGGGTATTTGGGTTTGGTGCAAATGCGAGTGTTTTACTGTCGATCATCATACTTCCAATCAACAGTTGCACGCAGCACTCGTTAGTCTCCATCATCTCTCTCATTTTTCCATTGCACTCGACAATTTCTTCTTCCAACTTTTCCTTCCCGAAAATGACTGGGAAATTAGCACCAGCCATGCAGTAGAATTTTGAGCGCTTCAATTCGTCTTTGGCGTATTTATTGCGTCGCGTGTCGCTTGGGCAGTACACACTGATCGGGGAGTTATCTGGAAGTTGATTAAACTTTCTCATAGCTCTTTGCTGGACAGTCATAAGAATTGCCTGCACCCCAACTTGATGTCTTTTACAGTAAGAAAGCACCTTTTGTGTATTGAAAGTGTGATAGATGTTGATATATTGACTCTTCTCTGGTATTTGAGGAATAAGAGGTTTCTTCGGGATGTCCCAACTCTTCGGGTCGTGCATTAAAACAGTTTTGTCGATGTCATAGAGAGTTGTGTAGTCGAAGGGGAACAAGTCTTGGTCGGCTATTTCCTCGTGGCGCTCATTAGGAATTGCGTTCTTGATGATTTGGAATAACGTGAAGAGAGTGCGACCATCGCAGAGAACGTGATTTGCTAGTAATTTAATTTGAGTCAATTCATCATTGGAGGAAAATTCTATTGTAAAGAGGGGAGTCCCTTCTTTATGTAAATTGTACGACGCAGTTTCAACGTCTTTTGGTTCTTCAAAAGGAACTTCTGTGATAAATAGAGAAGAATTTTCTAGAAGCCAAGTGTCCGAAAATTTCGACCAATAAGCGTGATGATCTTTGTATACTATGTCTAAGTGAAAAACAGTGTATTTAATGAGCTCTTTTAATACCGCTTTTTTAAATGGCCCAAATTCTAATTTGGGAAAGGTGTCCGACAAGGACAAACAAACAAAAGAAACTGCAAATTCGTAGCCATTTAATGGACGAATTGTCGACATTCGGTGTTATTTTTGAGATCTATTTCAATTCGTTTTAGTAGTGTTTTACTCTTAAAAAATTGTGGGTTTACTTTGAATCTTATCGTTTTTTTATTATTTCTAATTATTATAATTAAAATTATATTAAATAATAAAGTACTTTTTTTTGTTACACTTTAATGAAAATAGTATATTTAATTATAATATCTGGTTTTTTACTAGTTTTAACAAACTTATTTGTTATAGTTTTTTAATTAATAATTAATTTCTGATTTAGTTAAATTGAATTATAATATTATTGACAATAATGAAGTAACAGAACAATTTATTATTTCGTCAATCTTTATATATATCGATATAATTTAATTCAATTATTAAATATCAAGTATAATACAATTACATCTCAAATAGTTATTTAACCAATAATAATAATATGTATTTAAGATAAATTTATATTTAATCGATTATATAATTTATTAGAATATAATATTATTCATTATAATATTATAATATTATAATAAAGTTAAAACAATAAATTCCACCAAAATTTGATAATTAATTAAATTTATAACTAAATAAAGTACTACTTATCGATTCAATAAAAAATGTATCGATGATATTAACAATGATTTGATAAAAAAGAAATTAGAAGTTGTATTAGTTAATAGACATAAAGTAAATGAACTATAAGTCGACCTAGAAGTCCAAGTTCTATTAAGGGTTCTCAAACTTTATCGAATTAAACCACAACCGACATTATGAATAGTGCGGATCCCTATAGTTATTTACTTACCTTTCATCCCGACATTACTGATAATTTCTCCGCACTAGTAGCTTCCATGAAACTCCACGCAGCGACTCCCAAGCTTGAATTACCGACATTTTCTCCCACGACGTCCATCGATGATGCCGTCTCTTCTTTAGAGACGTGTCTTGCTTCCGTCAAACGTGCTGAAGTGACACGTAAGAACTTTTTATCAGCGATCAATCAGACTATTGCGTCTCTCAAAGACATCAACTTCTTATTAACTGAGACCAAGCGGCAGTGTATCTCCGACGGTCTTAAAAACGACGCCTTTAACGACTCCGTCGTCGACGCTTTAATCCAAAAAGAGCGCCAGCGCTATGAAGAAGAAGTGAAGACCAATGTCTTTCGCAAGGCCCAGCTCGAGATGATTTATTTACAGAAGGAGACGGCGCTCTCTGAAAAGCGTGTGTCCCATCTCCCTTTCAAGTCCGAAGACTCCAAACTCGATGCTCTTGTGAAGACCGACGACCTTGAAAATCCCGACTTGAACGACTTCTCAATTCCACTTGAATTAGACAAAGCAGAGCTTTCCAGTGTCTCCCAGTCGTCCAAAAAAGTCGATTTCAAAAAATTTGATAAAATTGAAAAAATCGAGGCGCTCGAGAAAGTCGCGAAGCGGCGCCCCCGTAGACTCTCCGCTAACGTCAATCGGAAGCCGCGAGAGTTGAAGACAACGTCGGCGTACGACAACAGTTTGATATCGGTAGAACATCGACAACAGATCACCGCGTGGTGTTCGAAGTGCGTTGGGGATGTCATATTTGATAGTAATATAGACGCTATAGGAAAGGGAAGTAAAGCATTCAATCAAAGAGTCTTTCATAGAGAAAATGGAATTGCTCTTTTCATCTTCGACGACGAGAAGAACATCTTTGGGTGCGTTGTGACTAAGAGCATCGAGTCGGAGGATATCACTGTGGAGGACGAAAACGCTTTTGTCTTCTCGTTGATGAGGAACGGAGAGAAGTGCGCTAAAAAGTTCATGATCAAAAAAGAAGAAGCAAAGAACGCGATCTTTGTTGGGAAAAAAATGAACGTCGGACTCTTCTCTGTGGGAAATGACGATATCAGAATTAACAGAAAATTCCACGAAAATACTGTCTCGTTCTGCGCTCAAAACGCTTTCGACTACGGAGAAGAAAAGGAGGCACTCTGCGGAAAGGTAATCCCTAACTACTTCGCACTACAAAGACTCGTCATCGCAGAACTTAAATAATTTATTTTTACTCAGATGAATTATTGTATTATTGTTGTACTTTATATGCTGTGCGAAATAAGTGTGAAGTGAATATAGAGTACCTGATACAACGTTGTTATTTACTCAAACCTTGTTTTTTCAATCTTATTTGAAGAAGGTTCGAATAAAAAATGGAGTATCGGCAATTTTGTTTTTTGTTTACCTCTTTTTTTGTAAACAAATCTCTTCGTTCATAAACAAAATAATTTCACAGCCTTTCAAATGTCTTTTTACACAAAAGCAAGAAATAGTCTTGCAAATAACCCAATTTTTTTGGAAAAAACAGTCCCAATTTTGAAGAAAAATAAACTCAAAAAATGAAAGGAAGAGGTGAACAAAACCCATTTTACAACCAAAAACACAAAAAATAAATGAAACTTCAAAAAGAAAATACTTCCTCTGCATGCCTTTTCGAGACGATTTGTTTTTAATATGAGACAGGTAAATGTCTTTGGTGCTCTTTGTTCCCAGCAAGATGTCAATGATATTGTTGAAAATCTCGAAGTTTTTCACAAAGATCTTTTCACCATGCACAAGAAGTTGAGAACAAACATAAATTGTGTCATTTATAATTACGACAACTTGCTCAACTATTCAATCACCGACATCAAGACATCAATCCGAACCTTTCAATGTGAATATAACTCTCATGTGAACATCTTTGAAGAACTGGAAATGAAGACTAAGAACACGAAGAAGATGATGAACATCAATGAACATATAGTATAGTGCTCACAATACATCAGAACTTCGTCTGTTCCAAGAGCTGGGTTTCATCAGCTTATGTCGATTTTGGGACATGACAACATTCCAATTCCAGGAGAAGTGATAATCGACAGAATACCTCGTGTCGAGGTACCAATGGGAAACTTAGAATCTCCTGTTGAATATTTGGCTGTCGCCAACAATGAAGAAGTTATAGAAAACTTGACCAGGAAAGACATTAATCCCTATCAACAAGAAGTAAACACTGAAGACGGTTTTTTTGAATTATCAGTGGAAATGGCGGAAATCGGCGTGGAATTCAACAACAAGCATATTGTTAACAGAATCACCGACGATGAATTTTACTGCTATGGTCTTTACGGCAATATTTTGGAAGCCGGGTTTGAAGACAATTTTAATGAAATCATAAACAACATCCTGAGATTACAGGAACTCGAAAGAAACAAAGAGGCGAAAAATTGGGGAACTCAGATGTTTAAATTTATGGAATGCATGGGGGCCAAATGTGGTATTAAGAATGTCAAATTGTTGGAAAGTGTGACAGCATCCATACCTTCTTATGTCTGGTCGAGGCAGATGAAGAGGATCGAAGAAAGGCCGGGCAATTCAGTGCGAAGATGTGTCTTTTCTGTAAAAGAAAAAGACGCCATTGTCAATTACATCAAAGAAGATCAAGAATTGAGACGACCAGTGACTTACACACAGTTGATGGTGTTTATAGTCGGAGAGTAATAAAGAGTCCACATCAGTGTAAGGGACTTGTATAACTTTGTCAAGAGAGAAGAATGTGTTCAGACTGCTCAATGTAAGACTATGGAAACGCCTCGTTCCAGTGTTCAAGAATCACAGATTAGGATGTACTTCGAAATATTGAAATTCAATGCGACTAGAATCCCGACTCCTTTTATCTTTAACCATGATGAATTGAGATTCCAGGAATGGGCCGACAAATCTGACCAACATGCCATTGTCACGTCAAAACATGGAACAGAAACAAATATGTTTGCAGTGGATAAATCAAGGGCGAGGCTTAGCGTGTTAGCGACCGTCTGCATGGATGGGACAACACTCTCTTTGTATTTTATTGTACCCACTCTGATGTCGAGAGAGAACTTTTCGAAGTTGGAATAAAGAAACAAAGAGCATCTTTGGGATTATTTGTTTTTTTATTAAAACAAATAATTCCTTTTTATCGGAAATGAAAACAAACAAAAAATAAACAAGTCCAACATATTATTCCGTTAAATTTTAATAGATCAAATAATGATAAAAATCTATTTGTTTTTAGATTGGTGGGGTTTTAAGGAACTGTAAAAGTGTTTCAAACACTTAAACCCAGACATTGGTTTGTTGTTTCACCTTTCTCTTCTTACTTATCATACTCATCACAAAGAACGAGTTTAATACAGTCAATTCATTTACCTCTGTTCACCTCTCTCCTCTGTGCCAACTCGGTTACTATTTTCCACATTCCGTGACCCCAAATACGCCGACTCAATTTTAATTCTGCCATCTTCTCTTTTTAGTTGGTACTCGCAACTGCTCCTCTCTCTTCTTCAGATCGTTCTTTTGCCGGTGTTTTGATGAAACGATCTGTTTCGACTTGGAAAACAAAAGATCTCGAATTTAGTTGAATTTGAATTTTAAGTTGTTTAAAAATGGAAATTACAAATAACAAAAACATCCAAAATAACAAAAAAAATGTTTCTTGTAGCGTGATTTTTTTGAGTTAATCGATTGCTATATTTATGAGTCTATGAAAATTAGAAGATTCTTGAATAAACAACGTTTGAGAAAATAACAACGTTGTATCAGGTACTCTAGTATATATATACATTATATATCGTAATATACGATATTTTTAATTTGGATGTATGTTATAATAGGTATATTTTATTTATAGCGAAAAACAATACAATGAAAAGGGTCTATTTGTTGTAAACACAGCACAATAAATAATTTATTTGTCGGATTTGAGAGAATTTTTCAGAAAGTTTGTTTTAATATTGAATTTAATTTTTAAGTAAAAATTGGGTTTAAATTCAGCAAAAGGATCAAATTCGAGAACAAAATTTTATTGTGGTACACCATAATGATTGGTCAGTTGTGCGACAAATAAACTCGTTTGACAATTAAGATTGCGACAAATAGACTCTTTTCACTGTAGTGTTAATCAGTAAATTTTATTTATAGCGAAAAACAATATTAACTATAAAATAGTTTAAAAACTAATTTAAATAACAACATTTACTCTTTATATAAATAGCTTTCTAATCCTTCTAATTCAACATCTTCACAATCATCAGTAGAGTCACTATCAATCCAATCTTCATTCAAAACATCATCTATAGAACTGTGTTTAATTTCCTTTGTGGTTTCCCCTCTATACATCCCAACACACGCTTTCGGCTTCTTTTGTTCGACACGCCATTCTTCGTATTTGAATTTGTCTTCTTTTGGCGCCTTTTCAATTCGTCTTATTTTCTCCGATTTTGATGGTTCTTTTAATTTTGGAATGATGTCAAGAAACCTCCTAGTTTGATACAAATCGGCGAATACAACAATTTCGTCTTCTTTGATTTTGCATGTACACTCACTGTTTAATTGGACTAAATTTGTATTAAGTTTTTCTTTACTATTTGGGTATAAAATGTGGTCGCACATAATAGTTTTGTAATTTATATAACCCAACAATTCCTTTTCTAAGAATTGCAGTAACTCGTTGTCTTTTATAATTCTTTTATATTCATCAATTTTAAAGACAATTATATAAATATAAATTTTCTTTTTTATTACAACTTTTTCTGTAAAAATCGATTTTTTCTCTTTGGTGTTGCTTACAACGAATTCTGTGCGACTTTCCACATTTTCAACTTCAAAAAAGTCGTTGTCGTAATCAAAAATTTTATTTATTTTGCCGTTGATTTCAAAATTGTAAGACTTGCCAATAACATCAACAGCTGAATTTGAATAATAAAGAATGTTAGTCTTTCTTCCAAGTATCAACTTTTGGCAACACCCAACATCTTTTACAGTGAACAGAGGCGTATTGAATGAGTAACAATCGTTATATTGACGGGTAGAAAAGTCAAGTTCTTTAAAAGGGCAGCAAATGTTAAAAACTTTCAGTTGTTTCATTTCAGTGCCAAAGTTGTAAATGTACTTTTGGGACTTTATTTGAAAACTTCTGGTGTTTTTTAAATTGAAATTTTGCATCTTTTCAATTCTTCGTCTTTTGTCGCAAAGAGCAACATTGCAGTCAAAATTGCATATTGTGAATGACATTTGCGGCGTTTCTGTTTGGACGCAAAATATTTTGGTTTGGCGCAA